ACAATATACCGACAAATAACCAACATATACAGATAATCATGCAGACAGAAACATAGGTAGTCCTACAGATCTACCAGACTAACATATCAATAACTAGCATAATCATATATATATATATATATATATATATATATATATATATATATATATATATATATATATATATATATATATATATATATCTATTCCATATTCAACATATCAGGATATCTAACCAATGGGCCGGCCTTGCTGCCTTTGACCCAAAAATCTGAAACTGAAAATGATCAACTATTGGAGCATGAAGGAAATGGCTAGCTTGGTTTACATCATAGGATAAATCTGGTCGAGTGATGGTAAGGTACTGTAGTGCCCCGATTAAGGATTGATAATGCGTAGGATCTGCATAAGGTGTGCTGGTGCTCAAAAAACATCATGTATAGCAAGACGAGTAGCTACAGACTTAGCATCAAGGAGTGTGACAAGGGTAAGAACGTCATGAGCATATTTAGATTGATTTGGAACACATCATGGAGAGTGGAATGGGTAAGAACGTTATGAGCATATTTAGATTGATTTAGAAACAATCCATTAGAATTATAGGTGACTTCAAGACCCAAAAAGTAGTTTAGCTCGCCAAGGTCTTTGATTGCAAACTCCCGATGTAGCCTTTCAATGAAATGAGAAATATAAGTCTCGTCACTCCCGGTAAGAATGATGTCGTCAACATAGACGAGAAGATATAAAAGACAAGATCCTTGTTGAGAAACAAACAAAGAGGTGTCGACTTGACCAGATTGAAAACCTTGCTTGAGCAAAAACGAGCTTAGGCGTTGAAACCAAGCTCTTGGAGCTTGTTTTAGGCCATACATAATCTAGATGTCGTGGATCAACAAAACTAGGTGGTTGTTCCATGAAGACGGTTTCGGATAAATAGACATTTAAGAAAACATTCTTCACATCTAGTTGATGAAGAACCCAATGATTTGTAACTGCAAAAAATATAACGACCCGAACCGTAGTAGCTTGATCACGGGACTAAAAGTATTAGAAAAGTCAAATCCAGGTATTTGAGTAAAACCCTTTGCCACAAGTCTAACCTTATGACGATCAAGATATCCATTAGAATGAAATTTGGTTCGAAATATGCATTTGGAGCCAACCACATTTAAGCCTTTCGGTTTTGGAACAAGTGTCCATGTTTTATTTTGATGAAGAGCCAATATTTCATCTGACATAGCATCCTTCCAGCATTGGTATTTTAAAGCAGATTTAAACCCTTTAGGAATTTTTTCTGCAAATAAGGTTGAATGCAATCGATTTGTGGTTACCGCAAGAAGATTAAATATATGCTTGGGTTTGAATATTCATGCCTTACCATGAGTTCTCATTGGAGCGATGTTGGCGATGAAGTGGTTGAACCCACAGGAGATGTGTTCAGGCCTAAAGAAGAAGCATCAGACTTAACATAAGGATCAGAAGTATCATACTCACTAGACGTAGTTGCTAAGGGACTGGGTGCTGGAGAAGGCGAGGTGGTTTTATCACATGGGACCAAAAATGTAAGACACAAGTTGTTGGGGGTAGTTACGAGGTAATTTAGATGGTGTTGGGATTGAAGGTTGTATGGGTTGTGGTGTTCCATCACTGTATTCAACATAATTTGGAGCCTTACCAGAAAAGGGAAAATTTTCTTCATCAAAACATGCATGATGAGTGATCTACACACGACTTGTTGTTGGATCTAAACACGTGTAACCTTTATAGTGAGCATTGTAGCCAATAAAAATATATTCAATACTTCTTGGTTCAAGCTTATGAGATGAATAAGGCCTCAAGTATAGAACTCGACATCCAAATCCATGAAAATTAGTGTAGTTTGGAGTAGCGTGATATAAAAGCTTGAACGAAGATCTATTGGCTAAGACTGGACTTGGAGAATGATTGATGATGTATGCAGCGGAAGAAAAAGTATCCACCTAAAATTTATTTAGCAGGAACATTGGCACCAAACAGAAGTGCTAAGCTAGTTTCAGTTATATGGTGATGCTTTCTCTTGGCGTGACCATTTTGGTGCGGGGTGTTGGGATAAGAAAGTTGGTGGTGAGTACCTTTTTCTAAGAGGATTTGATTTACTTGATGAGTAACAAACTTGGTGCCACCATCGCTTTGAAAAACCTCCGGTTTGCAAGAGAATTGCGTTTGAACAAATGCAAGGAAAATTTTTAATATCCCAAAAAATTCAGATTTGGGCCTCAAAGGATAAAACCATGTGAAACGAGATAAATCATCTATAAAAATGGCATAGCATCTAAATCCTTCCATAGAGGTTATCGGGGCGGGTCCCCATAAATCACAATGAACTAAATCAAGAACTTTCAAAGCATGCTTTTCATTTAAATTGAAAGGTAAACAGTGTTGTTTAGAAAGTTGGCATGAAGAACAAATCATAGGTTTAGGTAAAAGTGAAGTAATAACTAAACAACTGTTTTTATTTAAATGAGAAATAATGTCAAATGCTACATGACCCAAACGTTGATGCCATGTCTCGAACGATGCTTTAGAAAAGGGAATAGTAGAAGCCAAAAAAGCTTGATGCTCCGAACTTAAGATGTAAAGCCCATCCTTATGCTTGCCTTTTGCCAAAATTTTCTTGGTTTGGGTGTCTTGAATAGCAAAGTGATAACGGGAAAAAATGACATCAACCGGTAAGTCTAGTTTACTCACGGAAAGTAGATTCTTTTTTAGATGTGGTACTATAAGAACATCATGTAAAGGCAATCTGGAAGAAAGTGATGTAGTACCAACTCGAGAGACAGGAAGAATAGTACCATTACCGAAGGCAACATGTTCTAGACCATGATAGGGTGTGGAGGAGTCCACATGAGTCAACGAAAGAGCCATATGGGTTGTAGCACCTGAGTCTACATGCGAGTCGGTGTGGAATTTGTTAAGTGACAGTCCGATTGAAAAGTTTGGGCGAGATTTGATGTAGAACAAGAGGATTAGAGACCATAATTTGGTAATTCGGGACACACATTAGCATAGCGACCATCATGCCTACATAATTGGCAATGGGGAGGGCATCGACCTCCTGAAGAATTGGTACCAGAAAAACGTCCAGACTTACCACGTCCACGAGAAGTAGATGAGTGATTAGTAGGATGATGAGTGGCATTGAAAACAGCAGGAGGCGACTATAGTCAGTGTAAGGATGCGATGAACAACTCATGACCTTCCGCAAGGACTAGCAAATCATAATAACGAGGACGACGTTGAACGGCTCTGTGGGCTGTTGAGAAAGTCTCAGAAGTCGGTCCTAATCCACGCATGAATCAGTGGGTCTTATCATCATCAAACACAAAATGACCAATCGCAGTGAGATGGTAACAAATAGATTTGAATTTCCTGTCGTACTTAGAGACAGAGAGAGTATTTTCTTAGATGTTAGAGAGAATCCTTGAGGTTTTGAGCCCTCTTAGAAGACGAGTGGATGTAAGTGGCTTTCGGTGCACACCATAAGGATTGAGAAGTGGTGAGTCTTCAGTGAGAGATGATTGTAGGAGAAGCAGCACCTTTTGATCTGTAGCAAGCTAGGAGGTGTATTCCGAATTAGGGTTGGTTTTGTCTGCAACAATGATGGTTGGCGATGGAGCTGGATACGACCCATCATCAAAGTGGAACCAATTTTGATGGGTCAAAAGAGATAGAGCTTGATTACGCCATGATAAATAATTTGACTGGATTAATTTTATGGTGAGCATGTGGAGGAGGGTAGCCATAGGTAAATAAGTTTCAAGGGAGGAAAAAGGGGTCAACATTGGTGAAGTTTGAATAAGAGACAAGCGACTGAGAGGAAAAGGGTTAGGGCCAGGAGGAAATTACACAAATGGTCCCTATGGTTTATGGTAATTTGCATGTTTGATCCTTAACTTATTATTTTAACTCTGATGGTTTTTACTTGTTTGTTTTTGTTACGTGCTTGGTCTATGTCTTACCTAAAAAGACTATTTTGCTATTTATTTATTTAAATAAACACACCCCCAACCCCACCCCCTCACCTTACCGTACGTACCCTATCATTTTTTCTCTATTTAAATAATAATCTTTTTAGGTAAGACAGAGACCAAACGTGTAACAAAAAAACAGTAGGGACCAAATGCGTAACAAAAACAAACAGTAGGAACCTTCCAAGTTAAAAAAATAAGTTAGGGACCAAACTCGCAAATTACCCCAAATCATAGGGACCATTCATGTAATTTACTAAAAAAATGTAATAGGAGAATATGAAATAAAACCAAAATGTATGTTTGGCAGTGTTAACCTAATGCTTTAATGAATTCAAAAAGCAAAAACTACACCAATATGTTCTACAAGTGTCTTTAAAAAATGGAGTTTTGTCAACTTACCTAAGATCTGTCTTCTTTTTGCACCAACACATTCTTCATTATTTTTCATCTTTTTCATCTAGGAAAAACTTAAAAAAAAAATGAAGTTAAATTCATTAAAAAATCAGTCGGTATGGTTTAAAGTATGATTGTTGGGTTTAATGGGTTTAGTTATTTTCAACAAATTAATTAGATTTAAAGTTGGGATGAACTGTTTGTTTTTCCTTTTACCGCGAAATATAGAGTGTTGGGTGACTTAGTATTGTTTACTTTGGTTGGATGTATATAGACTATAGAGTGTACTTTGGTTGGATGTTTAGCCTACTTAAGGTACTTTTGGATGATGAATAAAGCAACCTGCACTCTTTCCATATTTCTTTCTTTTTCTTTTTAATTTCTCTGAAAATCACGGTTCACCTTTTTTCTTATTTGAAGAGTTGTTTTTATTCAAAGGAAGAAGCTTCATCTCCTACAATGATTATATGGCTATATAATAAAAAGGATAGTAATTTATGGTATTGAAATGTTTATATGTATATGTGCGATTTAAAAAAAAAATGTACTATCAGTAGCTGTAGCTGTATATTGGGATAGTCGTCTTTTCATACCTCATGGTAAAATGCGATAAGATAATTAATGAAACAAATTAAGGTTCCATTCATCACAAAAGTTGTGGTCAGGCATCTCGTGGACTCCGTCTCCCCATCTCTTCATGCTAGGACAATTTTTCACCTGGATAAACTCCAAGGAAGGATATTTGATTGTAGAATCTCCAGAATAGAAGGTCTTTAGTCTAGGCAAATCGATAAGGTCAATATGGGTAAGTCTAGGGAACTCAATATTTGCATCATCATGTATGCCCACTTCGGTTTCACTATCCTCTGTTTCCTCAATCATGTCACCACCAGTTGTTCGCTCATCTCTACCAGAAATCACTACCATCAAACTGTCACACCACCAAATCGATATACTTCTCAGATTGGAAAGCCCTTGTGCTACACTTAAAGGGAATAGGCTCAACAAGTATGAACAACGTGAAATTTTAATAACTTGTAGATTACGCAAGCTTATATATTGTAATGAACAATCAAAAAGAAGCTTCAGTTTATCAAGGTCACTTAGATGGATTTGTTCCACTTGGGAGAAAAACTTTTTCTTTGTTTTCCTTTGAGTTGCAACCTCATCCGTTGTCTTCACCAAGCATGAAACATTGTCACAACAAACTAATTCAATAGACTTTAATTCATCGACACTCTCTCCATAAAGGTCTGGTATGATGTTATCCAAATCTTTTATCACATTTAGTTTTATACCATCACTTACCTGAAACAGTTTCTTGATTGGCATCTTGAATGGGAAGTTAGAATCTGAAATGTATAGCCGGCGTTTTAAATATGATTTTGATCGCTCCATATCAATATTAATCCTTTGGTTAAGAAATTTAGAAAAGATTCTTTCCAAATCAATATTCCTTTGGATAAATTGAAAAAAGAATTCTTGCAACGTTTCGAAGTAGGTGCCTTCAGGAAAAAGATGACAATCATCTGAATCCATTTTTAAGTGCAGAGCTCTGAACGTTTCAAACTTACTTATTTCCACAAGACCAAGGTGTGACACTGCGTTCTTGTAAACGGTTCCAAAATACAACTCTTCCAACCAAGTGAGCTTTGATATGACACCAGGCGCTACATGAGATAAATCATCACATTCCCCCGCATCCAACAACCTCAAGTTTGTCAATTCACCTATCTCTTCAGGAATCACTTTGATTCCGGTAGCTCTAACTTTTAGAATCTCCAGGTCTTTTAGCTCCCCGAGTATAGAAATCTCATTGAGATATATATTGAAACTTAGATCAAGAGTGATGAGTTTTGTGAGTAGCTTCAGTGATTGTGGGAGGGATGTGATCTTATTAAAAGACAAATCTAAAACTTTAACTTCTTTCATGCCTCTAAAGAATTCATCAGGAATAACAGACAAATAATTTCTTCGTATAAGGAAAGTATCAAGGAGTGGGAAATGAAGCTGATGATGTGGAAGCTTTTCAATTCTATTATCCATGAGTGAGATCTTGGTGTAGCTTTCTGAGGTTCTGTTTCTTGGTTGCCATTCTGTCATACATTTTCCAGCCTCCACTAAAAACTTCTCTTTCTCTTCACCTTCAGAAGACGAAGTTATTAACAAAGCCACATCACGAACAACATCGTGCATTTTTACTTTGTCTCCCGGCTCAGGCAATAACAAGGAAGAGGATGTGAGGGTGTCAACTGCCATTCGGACTCTTTTTTCCGCGTCGTTAATGCTATCCAGATTATCAAATATCTGCAGACCCACCGCATATTCTGCTAAACGTAAAGTATCTAGGATTTCATCTTCCTTGAACAAACTACACAGTAAGAAGCATAATTTAGCTTTGCTGTCAAGCAAGTCATAGCTCAGCTTCAAATGAGTAAATGCTTTCCTTATCTCTGGAGCAATCTCTAGAGGGGCATGCTTTCTTAGTCGGTCAAGTGCCGCCTCCCATATATCAATTTTTTTATTTTTTAAAGCATTTCCCACGGCTTGAATGATGAGTGGCAATCCACCACATTCTTCAGTCACCTCTTTTGCAATTTTCTCCAGACTCGAGTCATTCGCTAACTTTTCATCACCAACAATACGCTTGAAGAGGACCCACGCTTCTTCCTTCGTCAAAGTATTTACACAGATATTCCTATCAACGTTCATCCCTTCACATACATCCTAAAGGAATTTGAAGAGTTATCGTCTCCTGGAATATCTAATTTATCCATTAGCTAGTTGTTATCTTTATCTTATTGTTGATCAAGAACTCGTTGTATATAAACCATTTGATAGTTGAATGAAACGTAACTTTAAAACCACTAAAATTTTCATGGTATCAGAGCAGGCTCCACAGGCTTGCGACGAACCTAACCGGAGATGACCGGTGAGAGACCAGAATCCTCAAAGGAACTCGATGGAACTCCCATCGATTCCAATTCTCCCTACTACATCCATGCATCAGAGTACCCTAGGCAAATGCAAGTTAACGACGTCCTAACCGACAACAACTATAATGACTGGGCCCAAGAGATGAAGAACTTCCTTTTCGCCAAGAACAAGGTTGGATTCATAACTGGATCAATTAAGAAACCAGGAGAAGATTCAGCCGTATATATGCCTTGGATGCGTGCAGATGCGATGATCAAGGGATGGCTAACTACAGCCATGGAGAAGGACATCAGAACAAGCGTCAAATATGCAGACACATCGAAGGAAATATGGGATGACCTGGAGGAGAGGTTTGGAAAAGAAAGTGCTCCAAGAGCATATGAGTTGAAGCAGTCACTCACCATCACAAGACAAGAAGGAACATCGGTTTCAGCTTACTACACCAAGCTGCGGGGACTGTGGGATGAGATCCAGACCATATCACCTTTGCCACGCTGTTCATGCTCCAACTGTACCTGTGATATTGGCAAAAGGCTTAATGAGTTCAAAGAAAAAGAAAAGCTCTACGAGTTTCTCATGGGCCTTGACAGTGAGTACTCTACAATCAAAACACAAATCCTTGCCATGAAACCCACACCCTCTTTAGGAACCGTATATCACTTGGTGGCTGAGGACGAACAACAAAGGGCAGTCTCGGCATCCAAGAAGACAAGCACAGAGGCTGCAGCTTTTCAGACCTACACTCCAGGAAAGAAAGAAATCACTGCAGATTTCAGCCAACAAAGGAAGAAGTCTGCATCAAAAGACATCAAGAAGGTCACAGGAGAAGAGGTAGAGCACTGCAACCACTGTGGTAAGAATGGTCACAACAGAGACGGATGTTTCAAAAGAATCGGGTATCCCGATTGGTGGCCAAATAAGGCGAAACAAGAAAAGAATAAAACGAAGGCAGCGTTCGTTGATTCAGGAATTAGTCCTATTCCAGGTCTATCGAATGGGCAATACCAGAACCTGATCAAACATTTCTCTAAAGATGGGTCAAACAGCAACACCACACCCACAGTAAACATGGCTGGTAAGGTTGAGATTGATGATTCATGGGTCGTTGACTCTGGTGCTACTGAACATATAACATATAAACAAGATTTGCTAGAAAACAAAACAAGAAATCCATTGGAACCATCAGTTACAATACCCAATGGAGATCTTGTTTCCGTTGATGGAAAAGGAAATTGCACTTTACAGAATGGAATCAAAATTGAAGGAGTCTTGCACATTCCACAATTCAATTGCAATTTATTATCAGTTAGTCGACTGACTAGAGATTTACAATGTGCCATAACCTTTCTTCCTGATTTGTGCTACATGCAGGACTTACACTCGAAGAACTTGATTGGCGCGGGTGAGTGCAAAGGTGGTCTTTACCGAATGGGCTTGGCAACAGAAAGGAAGAGTGCTATGATGACAACTGTTGATGTTGAGCTGTGGCATAAGAGGTTGGGTCATGCCTCCGAATCAAAGTTGAGCCAAGTCGATTTTTTGGAAAATCATTCTAGGAAATTAAAGGAAAGAGTTTGTGATTCTTGTGTAAAAGCTAAACATACTAGGCTTCCATTTACTCTTAGTTCAATAAAAACAAATAGTTGTTTTGATTTGTTACATGTTGATGTTTGGGGTAAGTATCGTACTCCTTCGATTTCTGGTGCTTCTTATTTCCTTACCATCGTAGACGATTTCAGTAGGGCTGTTTGGGTTTATCTTCTTAAACACAAGAATGAAGCAAGCAGCTATTTAATTGATTTTCACAACATGGTGAAAACGCAATTTGAAAAACAAACCAAGCGAATAAGAGCAGATAATGGTGGTGAATTCATATCAGGCTCCATGAGAGATTTTTATGCCAAGGAAGGAATCATATTGGAAACCACATGTCCACATACCCCACAACAAAACGGGGTTGTGGAACGAAAGCATAGACACATTCTTGAGATCGCAAGAGCGTTGAAGTTTGAGGCCAATGTGCCAATCAAGTTTTGGGGAGAGTGTGTTCTCACAGCCACGTACATTATCAATAGATTACCCTCAAAGGTCATTAAACATAAGACCCCATATGAAGTCCTGTTTGGACAAAAACCTAATTATGACCACATGAAAGTCTTCGGATGTTTAGTTTATGCAAGAAACACGGAAACCAAGGGAGATAAGTTTGAAGTGAGGGGGAGACCAGGCATGTTCATAGGATATCCACAAGGCAAAAAAGGATATCGAATATTTGACCTTACCGATAAGAAGATCATTGTCTCTAGAGACATTAAGTTTGTAGAAAATGTTTTTCCTTTCTCTGATAATATAGAAAGGAACAATGGTGAAGCAGGGCTCGATGATTTTCTAAGCAACACTGTCGAAGAAAGTGATGAAATAACACGAAGAGAGGCTGATCAAGGTTTACTAAATGAACCTGATTTAGACTCGGGTACATGTAATGAGAACGAGACCGCCATTGATCTAAACCCGTCTGAAGATCAGGCAGATCATGTTACAGAAGACACAGTTGATCAAATGCAACCCACTGAAGAACACAGAGATAAAAGAAGCAGGTCTAGACCCAAATATCTCGATGACTTCATTGTGGACTTGCCATCTTCGGTAGACCATGCAGCACCCACCGCCAGTCAACAATCTTCGACGGTACATCCCATAGTTAATTTTTTGTCTTATGATCAGTTTAGCGATTCGCACAAAGCCTTTTTAACTTCAATTAGCTCAAACCATGAGCCGAAACATTTTAATCAAGCCGTGCAGGATGTTAAGTGGAGAGAAGCAATGCAAAAAGAGGTAAACGCTCTTGAAGAAAATGGAACTTGGTCACTTGAGGAGTTACCAAAAGGAAAGCGTGCTATAGACTCCAAATGGGTCTATAAGATTAAATACAAACCAAATGGCGAAGTTGAGAGATACAAGGCACGACTTGTTGCAAAAGGCTTCACTCAGTTAGAAGGGGTAGACTTTCATGACACTTTTGCTCCGGTGGCGAAACTTGTTACTGTCCGAACTTTACTTGCTGTAGCTGTAAAAAGAGACTGGATCATGCATCAACTTGATGTCAACAATGCATTTCTGCATGGAGATCTAGATGAGGAGGTGTACATGAGGATACCCCAAGGTTTTAGCAAAGAAGGTGATACTAGAGTATGCCGGTTACGTAAATCTCTTTATGGTCTCAGGCAAGCATCACGTAATTGGTATCACAAATTCACAACGGCTTTGCTCGCAATTAACTTCAAACAATCGCATGCGGATCATTCACTTTTCATATACAAGCAACAGGGAAGTTTTGTTGCAGCTCTTATATATGTGGACGATGTCGTTATTGTTGGGAATGATGCTTCTAAGATACAAGAAACAAAATTGTATCTAGACAAAATGTTTAGCATCAAAGATCTAGGCCCATTGAAGTATTTTCTTGGACTAGAGGTTGCTCGGACTACGGATGGTTTGGTTTTGAGTCAACGTAAGTATACTTTAGATATTCTTAAAGACAGTGGGATGCAAGGTTGTCGACCTTGTAGCTTTCCGATGGAGCAAAATCTGAAACTAGATCAATGCAAGGATAGTCCTGCTGTTGATGCTAGTCAATACCGACGTTTAATTGGAAGACTACTTTATTTACAAGCAACTCGGCCGGACATAGCTTATCCAGTAAACATTCTGAGTCAATTTGTTTCCGATCCAAGGCAAACACACTTGAACTCAGTGCACCGAATTTTACGATATTTAAAGGCAACACCAGGTCAGGGAATATTTTTTCCAAAAGGTGGAGGAATGAATCTTGCGACTTATTGTGATGCAGATTGGCTTGGTTGTCCTGCCACCAGGCGTTCTCGTACCGGGTATTTGATTCTACTTGGAGGTGCGCCCATCTCCTGGAAAACCAAAAAGCAGTCCGTTGTTTCGCGTTCTTCAGCAGAGGCAGAGTATCGAGCCATGGCAACGTCTGTTAGTGAGACTTTGTGGCTACGTTGGTTATTGAAACACTTGGGAGCTCCTCCTGTCGGTCCCACACCTTTGTTTTGTGACAATCAAGCAGCAAGGCACATAGCTAATAATCCTGTGTTCCATGAACGAACTAAGCATGTTGAAATGGATTGTTATTTTGTCCGTGAACGAGTTGAGTCCAAAGAGGTTTGTCCGATGCATGTTCACACTTCACATCAGGTTGCTGATTTATTTACTAAGGCTTTAGGTTCCCAACGTCTTCATTTTTTGCTTAGCAAGTTGGGCATTCGGAACTTACATGCTCCAACTTGAGGGGGAGTAAAGGAATTTGAAGAGTTATCGTCTCCTGGAATATCTAATTTATCCATTAGCTAGTTGTTATCTTTATCTTATTGTTGATCAAGAACTCGTTGTATATAAACCATTTGATAGTTGAATGAAACGTAACTTTAAAACCACTAAAATTTTCACATCCATCCTTCTAGAAGTCAACAAAAGCTTGCAATTCATGTGGTCATTCCCACATGGTATGCCAAGATCAGAGAGGACCAGTGGTTCCCATATGTCATCTAAAATGATTAGAACCTTCTCCTCTTTGATTATCCGTTTCGCAGCTACTTCAACGTTCTTTTTAATCTTTTCAACGTCTACAGTACGTGAGACAGTTATAAACACAATGTCTGCAAATAGATTCCTCAATTCTGCAGCAACTTCCTTGGCTAATGTAGTTTTCCCTACACCTCCAGTTCCATAGATTCCAACCATCTGTATGCTCTCATCTTTGATCGCTTCAATGATTTCCCTCAACGCCAACTTGTGGGTATCAATATCATCAAGATTTTTTGGTTGGTAAAGGTCTACCAATCTTGGGGTGGGAGCGGGAATGGAGACGCAATGTTCAAGAGTTTCACCATCTTTTTGTTGATCCAGAAGAAAAGAGGTATTGTTTATCGCCATCTTACTGTAATGGTAGAGGGTGCCCAAATCGACGCAAGGTCGTAAGTTAAAGCACGTCTTCTTGGCGTTGGCTACTTCTTCAAGAAACTCTTCCACCTTGGATAGTTCAATTTCTGCCTTGTCCATCCACTCTTGCACACCAGCTAAGCCGCATCGATTCGTTGTTGAATCCTACCCCTCATAACCTTTAGCTTTTGAGCTTCACTCTCCAACTTGTTAACATTTTTAGTGTAATTTCGGATGTAATCAATCTCCCGTTTAGCCGCACTAAACAACAAGTCCACTATTTTCCCAGCCACAGTATTAGTGACCTCCGCCATTGTAGCTTGTTAATTTTCTTTTCTGATGGTTTGGATGGCAAAGTAGTCGACAATATAACAGATCTTGAAATAAAAAACGTTTATGCAAAATAAAGTAACATATATAGTCTATCCTTAGATAGGAAAACAAGAGTATGACAAACCAAAAACCGACGGCCCTGATTGGCTGATTATGAATTGTAAAAAAAGAAAGATAATGGTGTTTGTTTGATTGGCTTACAAAACAAATTAAAGCTGAATGAAGAAATTAAAGCTGTGAAGATAAGAGCAAAACGAAGATCCGGATGTTTGATTGGCTTACAAAAGAAGATAAGATAAGAGTCACTGTACGCAAAAGATGATAGTTGCTTTTTTACAGATCACAAGTTCACTACAACGCTAAAGTACAAATTAGGTCAATTATTATATTTTTTAAATTTCATTATAATTTTCTTTTAAGATATTATATAACAGTAGAAAACAATGATACATATTTTTTGGTTGGACACGATTATTGGAAAAAATAATTTTGTTTTTAATTTTTCTTTCTATTTTTAAAGTTTATTTTTATAAAAGAAACTAAATATTTCAAATTTTTTTTTTTTTTTTTTATCTATGGCACACAATAATGTTGATACATAATTTTTTTATTTTACTTTTATCTCATTTAGATTCTTAGTTTATAAAAAAATTAGTTTCAGCTCGTTTAAATTCACATCGTGAACTTAAACTATATGAAGCTTATAAACATAGTTTTGTATCAAACTTATAGATTCGTGTTTGAATTTGAATTGTTTCTACATTTATACATATTAATTTACATAAAAGTGACAATTACACCTATTTTTGATAATTTACATGTAAATCTTAAAAAACTCATTTGTGTACGATCAAAAGTTTGAAATACTAATAAACAAATCAAAAGAATTTACTTAGATGTTTACACGTAGGGAATGACTTATAGAGGTAAGCATGTTTCAAAAACATTCAAAAACCACCATGGAAGTTTGGGCTGTTTAAAAATTACCATCCAACTAAGGACTTTGTATAAAAACACCAACGTAATTTATATTTTGTTCAAATTCCACCCACTACTAACTGACATCTGTAGGTAAAGAAAAATTTATTAGTGGTAAAAAATAATCAAGTAAAATAAAAGTTGACATGTAGTTATTACGTGGATTAAGGGAAAGGAACCATTTGCTTAATTGGCTTAAGGGGGGAGTGAAGGCCACAAGCGACACAAGCTCTCTAGGATTTGATATTGGGTTCGATCGATCAACCTTCCTCTTCTCAAATCCATTTTTACACTCGATCGATTTTCCATTCCTCCCCAGCCGATCGATCTTCCTTTCCTCCTCAGTTGATTAAAGACTTCAAATTGATTTTTACAACCGATCGATTGTCCCTGCAACCTCAGGGTAACATAATTTCACATGTTGACCAAATTACCCCTGTTTACCGTGTGCTTTTTTTCTTAAATATTCCTAGATCAATTTGTTTAGTTTAAGACATTAAGATTGAAAGTACCATTTATTGATAGAACCAATTATAACAGCCTCCTACGTGACAAAAATACCCTTGTTGAAGCGTTGCACTTATGGCAAATTAAACTGGCCATATATGTTAACTAAAATTAGGTAAAGTGATGTGTCATGTGCATATAATTTGGAGAATGGATATAACTTACAGGAAACATGAATTGTAAGTCACTTGTGTATTGAAAAGTTGAGATTTCTTAAACTGTATTAAAGATAATCAAAGTACCAACTTTGTTTATATGGAAGTGATATTTTCCTTAACTATTCTATACAAAACATTTCCTCTATATTTGTAATAATTATCTTATTACTGGTGGTTTTTTTTTTCCTTTGCTTAGCTAGAATATGATAAAAGGGAATTGAATTTGATATATTCTCAAGTTACCCCTGTAGCCTTCTACAACCTCCTCTATTACATAACTGCACCTGTTGACCAAATTGACCATAACCCTTTGCTTTTTTTTTTCTTCTAAACTATTCCCAGATTAATCTGTTTAGCTTAAGATTGAGAGTACATTGCTATTCTTGAAATTAGTTGATTAAGCCATTTTGTAGCACTCATAGCACTGGTTCTAGCATGTTATAACCAAAAATAGAAAAAAATTCCTTTTATACTCTTTATACCATTTATGAAAAAGAATGTTGATTCCAAAAGGAAAAAAAAAGACAAGAATACCCTTTTAATATGACATGAACAATTGAGTTTTTCAGCTATTTGTTTCTTAATTTGGTCTTTTCTAGACTCCGCTGAATTTTCTGTACTTTTCACTTATGTAATCTCCTCATTTTGTGAATTATTCAATGTAGAGTCCACAGACTATGAATTGGGAATGACCTCGTTTATCTTGATTCGCTCTTCAGCTGCTGAGGTGGTTGCTTCTACCACCGTTGAAATGAAACCTTTTTGCTTTATGTTTAGGAAGAAACATAACAGTAAAAAATGACACTTAATGTTGCTGCTAAACAACCTTCCCACTACATCTTGCTTCCATTTCTTATTATCACTTCAATGTAATTTGAGAATTCGAGAGTACATCAATAATTGAATATATTGTGCATAGTACAACAGCTTAATATTAAAAAAATGAAAAACAGATAAAGGGCATAAGAGTAAGTAAATGGCAATTATGCCCTTTTATTCCTTTTATCCCATTTGATGAGCATTTAGGTTTGTATTAGCAACAAAAGTTCATTGATATATGTTGTTAACCTTATGAAAAGCTACAATAGATGTTGACCAAATTTCCCATCTTGACCTTCATCTTAATCAACCTTTTTTAATCATGTCATATACAACTTCCTCTATCATAAACTTTGCTGAAATCGATGTTGACCAAATTTTCCCTGTTGACCAAATTTCTTTTTTGAAAGATGGACCTTTAGTTGCTAATTTAGGGACATTAGGTATCCCTTTCACTGTAATGTATCCTAAAAAAATTCTTAATTCAAGTCTTATCAGTCAACTATTTTAAAGAAACATCAATTTTATATATGAGATACATTGCCTTTCATGTATTCTTTTAAGTCATCCTTCAAATATCTTCACCCAACAATATAGGTCCTCATTGCATTTTTGAAAGAAATTAACCAATGTTGGTGCCAAATATTGTAAGCCCACATGTCATGGACTTCACTACTGTAGACGCAAGGGAAGCTAAGAATAGAAATGCACAATGAGGGGCAAAATTGTCCAACACCATAACAGAACCTTGCTTGTGCAATATAAGGCACCATGAAATCCATATTCGAGAAGGGCACCCCAACAACAAGGATTTGCATGATCAATTTTGCTCTTTTTTTGGAAATAGGTGAGCTTGAGATGGAGTTTAACGATTTACAGGAAAAGCCTTGAAAGTTTGAAGAATTCGATCAACAAGAGTTTATGCAAAGGAGTCGTATTCATCAGTTGTGAGCTTGTGCCCTAAATCTATTTATTGATGTGAATTTCTTAGTTTGTTGAGTAGATTTACCGACTCACCATCTAAATATGCCAAATCAGCAAAATATGCCAACTCATCTGCTCGATCACCTGAAAGTGCTGGTTACTTCAAGTTGAGATTTGAAGAAAATGATAGTTTGGTGGTATTTTTTTTGTATAAAGACCTTACTTAGATGGAGTTTTTTGTACAAGCCAAGTGTTTTTTGAACAATTTTAAAACATATTTACCCTTATAAGTCATTTTCTCTTACATGTAAATGTGAATATTTATAATAATTCTTATGCAAATTCACTATATATATATATATATATATATATATATATATATATATATATATATATATATATATATATATATATATATATATGTATAGATTAATTATTATTCACATAAATATTTATCATTAATAAACACCATGGTCTTTTATTTTCTATTTTTTACATTCTGAATTTCAAGAACGAATGAAAGCTAAACAAGTTAACGGACGATAATTTGGGTCATTACATATTTCAACTGTGAATCAGATCATATCATCTTGCATACAAAAAGAAAGTAAAAAGGTATTTTTTTTCTCAATAGTTGTAACGTGTCTCTCCTTCTCTTCCGATTTATAGAAACACTAGATTATGGTAATTTTTTTTATCTTCTTAAATTTGTTTTTGGTTACTAACAATTTTTCCCCCTTATTTTGATAAGTATAGGGAAGGGATTGATGTCTTCATACCTAGAGATCGTTGGTACGATTTGAAATCCTTGATTTATAGCTTGCTTATTATGAGTTATGATCTAAGGGATTGTTTGACAGTTTAGATTTGTTTTATTTAGATGCATGAATGGTTGATAGGCTCTGAGTTAACATGCATCCGAATGAAAACATGTTGTTTGGTTAGAGATTGTACTAAATGTTAAAAATTACTACCATTTATCTTTTTGTTCAAATTTTAAAATGATAATACGTACATATTACTAAACTTAACTAAATTTTTTTTTAACAGAAAACTATTCTACTCCTTAATTCCACTTAACTACATATACTAGCAACCCAATCCTCTTTCATTCACATACACAAACTAAACTAACTATAACCTTATACACATAAACACAAAATGTAGGATGTCAATAATCATCTTTAATTCATTCCCAGTTTCTATAAATTCATACACATACTCTCGTTTAAATGCCAAAGTACATTTGATGATAAACAAAGAAAATAATAATGAAATCAAACTTTATAATTAAAAGAAAAAATGATGGCTAAAATGCGATTAATTAATTTATGCCTTCTAGACTGAACATTCTATACTGAACAGTTCATCCAAGTGCTTGTATAAATAGTTATTAGCACAATGCTTTTTTTTAACAGCACAATTTTATTAAAGAAACACAGACCACACTAACGAGAAGCTAGTGAGACCTGAGATGGACAAATTACAACCAATGCTTAATGAATTCAAAAAGCAATAACACTTGAAAATGAAAAAGAGAGCCTTTCCAAATATTGCAATCCGCTAGCTACTGATTGTATGAGGATCTATCTTGTACAAAACTTTGAATTCACTCGCATGTACGTATTGCATTTGAAACATAGAATTTACTAATATTCTACAAGTATCTTTAAAAAAAATAAAGGAGTTTGGTGAACATACATAAGAAGTTTCTTCTTCTTGCACCAACGCATTCTTCATTATTTTCATATAGCTGGAAGATAGTTAAAAAAGAAAAAAATGGAGTTAAATTTATCAAAAAAAAAATCAGTTGATATATATGATCAGATAGCAATATAATTAAAAGGATTGTAATTTATGGTATTCAAATGTTTATATATGTATATATATGTGTGATTTAAAAAAAAAAATATAATAGATGTATATTAGGATATTCGTCTTTTCACACCTCTCTTGGTACGTGTACTGCAATATGATCATTAATGGAACAAATTAAGCATCTCGTTATGATCACCAAATTTTACGTTGGGCATATCGTGGACTCCGGAACCCCATCTCTTCATGCTACTACAAATTTTCACCTTGATAAACTCCAAAGAAGGATATTTGACTGTAGAATCCCCTGAGTAGAAGCTCTTTAGTTTGGGCAAACCCGAAAGGGAAATACGGATAAGTCTGGGGAACACAATATTTGCATCATCATGTATGCCCACTTCGGTTTCACTATCCTCTGTTTGCTCAATTTCGTCACTACCAGTTGCTTGCAATTGCTCGTCTCCACCAGAAATCACAACCATCAAACTGTCACAACTCGAAATCTTTAAACGTCTCAGATTGGAAAGCCCTTGCGCTACACTTAACGGGAATACCATCAACAAGGAACGACAATTTATAATTTTAATGACTTGTAGATTACGCAGGCTTATACATTCAAATGAGCAATCAAAAAGAAGCTTCAGGTTATCAAGGTGATCCAGATGGATGTCTTCCACTTGGGAGAAATACTTTTCCTTTGTTGTTTGCGTTGCATCCTCATTTGTTGTCTTCACCAAGCATGAAAGTCTGTAACGTCAAGCCAATTCAATAGACTTTAATTCATCGACACTCTCTCCATAAAGCTCCGGTATGATGTTATCCAAATCTTTTATGGACTCTAGTTTTATACCATCACTTACCTGAAACAATTTCTTGATTGGCATCTTGAATGGGACGTTAGAATTTTCAATGTGTACTCGACGTTTTAAATATGATACTGGAGAGTGCTTCAACATCAATTGAAAATGGAGTTTTTCAAATAGATTTGTGATCTGGATATAAAATTGAAAATAGAATTCTTGCAACGTTTCCAAGTAGGCACCTTCAGGAAAAAGATGACAACCATCTGAATTCATTGATAAATGCAGAGCTCTGAATGATTTCAGTTTACTTATTTCCATAAGACCAAAGCGAGACGAGTCCCTGTGAAGGGTTCCAATATATAACTCTTCCAACCAAGTGAGCTTCGATATGACACCAACAGCCTTAAGTTGGTCAATTGACCGATCTCTTCAGGAATCACTTTAATTCCGGTTTTTCTAACCTTTAGAATCTCAAGGTCTTTTAGCTCCCCAACTATACAAATTTCAATGAGATTCTTATTGTAACTTATATCGAGCGTGATGAGTTTTGTGAGCAGCTTCAGCGATTGTGGGAGGGATGTGATTTTATTGTAAGACATATCTAAAACTTTAACTTCCTTCATGCCTCCAAAGAATTCATCAGGAATAATGGAAAGGTCATTGCTTCGTATAAGGAAAGTATCAAGTATTGGGAAATGAAGCTGATGATCTGGAAGCGTACGAATTCTATTATTCATGAGTGAGATCTTGGTGTATCTGTCTGAGGTTTTGTTTCTTATTTGCCATTCCGTCAAATCTCTTCCAGCCTTCACTAAAAACTTCTCTTGAAACTTCTCATCGCCTTGAGAAGAAGTTATCAACAATGCCACGTCACGAACAATGTCGTGCATTTTTACATGACCTCTCTCGGACAATAACAGGCCAGAGGATATGAGGGTGTTAAGTGCCATTTGGACTTTTGTTTTGGCATCATAAATGCTATCCATATTTTCAAATATCTGTAGACCCACCCCATATTCTACTAAACGCAACATATGTATGAGTTCATCTTCTCTGAACAAACTACACAGTAAGAAGCACGATTTAGCTTCTTTTCTTTCAAGTAAGTCATAGCTCAGCTTCAACTGAATAAACGCGTTGCTTATCTCTGGATCGATATCTAGAGGTGCATGCTTTTGTAGTTGGTTAAGGGCTGCCTCCCATATATATATGAATTGGTTTATTTTTTAAAGCATTTCCCACGGCTTGAATGATGAGTGGCAATTCACCACATTTTTTAGTCACCTCTCTTGCCATTTTCTCCAGTCTAACGTCATTCACTAACTTTTCACCCACAATACGTGTGAAAAGGACCCATGCTTCTTTCTCTGTCAAAATGTCAACATAGATATTCCTATTAACGTTCATCGCTTCAAATATATTTCCTCTTCTAGACGTCAACAAAATCTTGCAATTCATGTGGCCATCCCCACATGGAAGACTAGCTTTTTCCATATGTCATCTAAAATGATTAGTATCTTCTCCCCATTGATTATTCGCTTTGCGGACTTTTCAACATTCTTTTGAATGTTTTTAACGTCTACATTATGTGAGACAGTTATAAACACTATTTCTGCAAATAGATTCTTCACTTCAGCAGCAGCTTCGTTGGCTAATGTTGTTTTCCCTACACCTCCTGATCCATAAATTCCAACCATTTGTATGCTCTCATCTTTGATAGCTTCAATGATTTTCCCCAACGCCAACTTGTGGGTATCAATATCATCAAGATTCTTTCTTTGGTAAAGGTCTACCAATCCTGGGGCAGGAGCGGGAATGGAGGCACAAGATTCATGAGTTTTCCCATCTTCTTGATGTTGCAGAAGTAAAGTGGTTTTTTTTTTATCGCCATCTTACTGTAATGGTAGAGGGTGCTGAAATTTACACAAGGTCGTAAGTTGAAGCACGTCTTCTTGGCTTGCGTTTCTTCTTCAACAAACTCTTCCACTTTGGATATTTCAATGTCTGCCTTGTTCATCCATTCTTGAACACCAACTAAGAGAGCATCTCCATTTATTTTAGCTAAATCGATTTGTTGTTGAATTCTATCCCTCATATTCTTGAGCTTTTGAGCTTCACTCTCCAACTTGTCAACATTTTTAGTCTAATTTCGGATGTAATCAATCTCTCGTTTAGCCGCACTAAACAACGAGTCCACTATTTTCTCAACCACAGTATTAGTGACCGGATCCGCCATTGTAGCTAGGTTACTTTTCTTTTCTGATGGTTTGGATGGCAAAGTAGTCGACAATACAGCAGATCTTGAAACAAGAAACGCTTATATATGCAGTAGACAACCAAGTATGAATTTTAATATAGTAATTGCCAATTGCAATCAAATTAAGGAAGATATATAGTCTTTCTTTAGATATGAGAAAAGGATCATGCATAAAACCTAAGGCCGTGATTACGAACCGCACAAAGGAAAGAGAAGAGTTTTTCTTTGGCTAACAAAAGAAAATCATGATGAAGCTAGAATGAAGAAAGCGGTTAAGATGAGAGATTGCTATCAAAAGAAGAGTAAGATAAGAGTGATTGTAAACAAAATGATACCGTCGACAATTATTATTCACAAGTTGGCATCGTTGACCGTGTAGTTGTTCACCCACTATGTTCGAAACTAATGCAATTTTACTTTTTTTTTATAGATCTCTACGCTTAACTTCAAATTCGGTCGACATTATATATTTTAAAATTGCATTTAAAAATTGTAATGCATCAGATCACCCGCTATAGGCTCGGAGGGTGTCCCCAGATTTTGGTCAAACAAGAAAAAGAGCTCCAAAAATGTTTAGTACTTTAGTGACTCATAGTCTCATGGTCTTTTATTTTAGAAAAAATTGCATAAATGGTCATGTGGTTTGCCAATTTGGTAAGGTTTGTTAATTTGGTAAGGTTCTTATTTGATTGTTAAGCTCTGGTTTTTGTCTATATTTCGTTAACTTTGTTAATTTTTTTAAAATATTAATTTTATCTTTATGGACCATTTTTATAGTTATCTTTTTTTTTTTTTTTTTACCAAATTACAAGGATCATTTATGTAATTCTTCTTTTTAAATTTATTGAATTATTATATATTAATCCTTTTTTCTTTTTAATTTTATTGAACTATTTTTAATTTTATTTTTGTTAGATTAATTTTTTTATTTGATTATTATATATCAATTAATTTTATTTTTAATACATAATATTTATATATTAATAAATATTATATTATTATTTTCTTTTCACTATTTTAAAATTTTTTATTGGATTTTTTTTTTATAAATTGTTGGATTTTTTTATTGAATTATTACATTTAATTTATTATATTCTATATATAATAAATAATATTTTAGTGGATCATTAATTTTTTTTTAAATGTATAATATTAATTCTTTTTAATTTATTGGTTCTACCACAAAGTCTTTGGAATACGCAAAAGCACCGCATCCCATTGTCGAAAATAGTCGGGACCACCACTAATCAGCTTCATCGGAGGTCCGAAGAAAACACTACCAACCTGTTTCACCCAACGCCACTATCCAATAGTCACCTGCAACAAACTCTTCACAATATGTCAGAATCCTTTATATTTGCCACTAAGCTGATCGTTTTTTACTAGAACTATCGCATGGATAGGAATACTTACGCCATAGAAAATCTAAGTGTCATAAGGTTTCTCTCCGATTTATGAAAATGATGATGAGGAAACTCTTTCACTAAGTAGATTTTTCAGTAGATAGCAATTATGATATTTGCATTCTCAAAGTTATTAGTGGAACGCGTGTGGTTAACCGACTCACTAATATAGACTTGTGAGAAATGGCAAAGGTCTAAACAATTGAGACTATGATTACGACATTCCTTTTCATAGTTCTAAAATTTTTTAGACACACATGTGAGATATCTAAGGAAAGGTGTATGATTTTGATAAAGTCTTATCAAATTATCTTGTATCAGAAAACTGAACTTTGGTAGGAAAGTCAATAAAGTATTGATTTCTAGAAGTCCAACTGATTTCTGGGTACATGTCAAAGCTAGTGGGAGCATAAAGTATTATGCTAGTTAAATTATCATGTTAGTGGGAGCATGATTATTATGTTACGTCTTGCAAGTTAGCAATGTTAATTATAGAAAACAAAAGTTTCAATTCACTTTGAAAAGTTGTTTTGCTATAATTAAGGGAGAAGATTTTATACTTCATTCCAATTCTATAAGCTTAGATTGAGATTTTAATCAACTTTAGGCAAAGATATATATGAATGTTATGTTGGAATGGTTCAACATAAGGAAATTCTATATATGTTGCATTCTTAAAATTTGATTATGATTACGACATCCCTCTTCATAGTTCGAATTGTGAGAACATGGCAAATAAAAATTTTGTAGCATGAATCGTGTCCCATATACTTCGGGTTTAGGATCGATTACATCCATTCTAAATTTTCCAAATGCTTAGGGCATTAAGAGGGAAAAAGAAATAGAACCGGATATGACTAAAATGATTAAGCAATTGTCGAGGACAATCTGAGGTTTACCAAAGATTGGTTGTTCGTGGACAATTGGAAGTACAATGTACACCTTGGAAAGGACCATATTGATATATTTTTAAAAAGAGGCAACTCTTGTTCATAAGTGATAATCAAAATGGTAATATGGAATTATTTCCATAGGCGGAAGTTATTCTTTGAATGTGTGTAAGATTAGAAAGCTTAATGCAAAAAGGATGTTCAAAGGAATGAACTTTGACTTTGAGACTTCAGTTCTATGGAATTGCTCTCCATTGGAATTCTTTGTAATGTCTGTTGCCAAGTCTTTGTGACTTTTGTGCATAGTCATTACAAGTGAATCATTGCATATAAGTTTAGAATCTAACAGATTACAGTAAATGGCAGGAGTTTGGTATTCTTATATTCACAAAAAGGATTTTGATTGTGAAATGAACATCATTGGGGTCGTGTTCAATTGATCTATTTCACAAAAGAAAGGAACATAGGTAAACATGGTGTGCATACTTGGTACATGGCATGACTATTGTTTTTATTCAAGTATTAAGTGTTGGATTAGTGTCTAAGGCTGTAACTATATTTGGTAAGTACTTGACCCGATTATGCATGGTCCTTTTGGGTTGCCTTCACTATAGCAACTTGACAAGATGATTTGTTAAGAGAGAAGATATATTATTGTTAATATATTATGAGAATAATATATTAAAAGAATGATAATATTATTTGATTAATATAAGTCATATATTAATTGAGAATTAATTTGGTGACTTAAAGAGGTTAATTGAATAAAGGGGCATAAACTGTCAAATGTGTGATAGTTGTGTTTTGGGCTATGCATCCTTATGGATATAAGGGTGGACGGATTTTAGGGTTAGGAGACCTTAAAATCATCCATGCCTAATATCTAGGAGGATCTTTGGATTGCTTAGAGCCTAAGTTATTCAATTAGGGTTAAGGGTGAAACCCTAGTAGCTCATAGTATAAATAGATCTCTTGGGTTAGGGAAATCGGCACTCATGCAAGGCAAGAAACCCTAGAGTCGATTTCTCACCCCTCCTCTCTCTCTCTCAAGATCATCCTCTTGCTAGTTGGTGTTTGTAAGCCATTAGAGGAGTGACAATTGTGACTTTAAGCTCCAAGGAGAAGAAGTTTCAAGCAAGTAACTCAAGGTATTGTTCTAGATCCGATTTCATATGATAAGATTCAATTGTTTATGCTAGATCTAGAATTGTAAGCCTTGGATATAATGCATGTTCAATTAGAGAAACCTAGATCTAAGCATTAGGGTTTGCATGTGCACATAGGAAAGTTCTTATGACTCAAACCCATCAGTGGTATCAGAGCTTTGATTGATTTCTATTGAATTGATGCATTGGTTGATTGCTTGTTGCTTGAAAAATTCGATTTTTGTGTTTCTGCCTGATGAACTCGGCGAGTAGCTCCAACTCGGCAAGTCTATAGGGTAACTCGGCGAGTTCGAGCGTCAGAAGGAGGTAGTTTTGGGATTTCTTTCTGTTTTACTTGAGGATACTTGCCTTAACTGTTTTGGGTCATTAAAATCCGATTTAACCATATATATGAGTATATTCTTGACCAAACAAAAGATAATTATCAATTAGTTGAATAATAATTTCCTTATATGATAATAATTGATTATTTGAATTGAATTGGTGAATTGTCTTGCAAGTAATATTGAATAAGATCAAATTGAGATAAGATAATTAGTTGATTTATATTATTTGCTATTTGATCCTTATGTTTTGAAAAAGTTTAAAACTTGTCCTCAAGTTTTTGAAATTTAAGTTTTGTGATTAGAAGTTTAATTTGAATAATTTAAATTTCAAACCCTAGAATTTTACAAGTTTAAAAATTCAACACTATACTAATATATTATTACAAGCTTTATATATATATATATATATATATATATATATATATATATATATATATATATATATATATATATATATATATATATATATATATATATAATTTAAAAATGCTAGTCTTACCGTTAGTAGGTCTCATTCACGAAGCCAATCTATATGGTGGGTATAAGGTTGTTGCCTATAAAATGGCGCTTAATGGGTGCACACTCACATCCACCGCTTGCTTGACTGGTGGAGGGTCGTTATCCGAACGGGTAGGATAGGACAAACCTCTTCTCATTAATAAGTATAATGAATCTATATAAAGTAACTAAACGTGTTTCATAAAATTCCCAATCTTAGTTACTTTAGGAAAAGTGAATTGATGCAATCCCATGAAATTACACTTTGCACCCTTTCTAAGAAGTTAGTGGAGCATGTGTGGTTAACCGGCACACTAATTGGTTCTAAGCAAAGGTGGCAAAGGGTGATTCATTGTTTGTCATAGTTCGATGCAGCGTGTGTGGTTTACCAGCACATCGAATAGGTGATTGTAACAATGAAGGCACCATGTAGATTTGCATGGTTATTCACACCCGCTTTATGATCCTCGGTATCCCAGTCGCAAACTAGAGGGGCATATCGAGATTTAAACATGCCATTGAAAAGGTTCAATGAATCTCAAAGAAATCTAGGAA